ACAATAAACTGAACCTGAGAGGAACTTGAGTTTATTTCCCTGGTTTCTTGTGAGATTTTTTAGGCCCCTTCATAGATTGGTTCTAATTTACTTGTTCTCTGTTACAAAGGTAGAATATGGTGTAAATTATAACCAGGTTTTGATTCTCTTAATAATTGTCTTTCGCATTTATGAAAGAGGGTTAATAATAGTCCTTATCCATCCACTTGTTACTTATTGCTTTCATTTGGATTGTGATTTCTTCAAGTTAAGGACTGTACCAAGTGTAAGCTGGGGCCTCCAGAAGTATTCATTAGCATCTGTTTATTTTCCTTGGATGGATTTTTTAGTTTGGTTGCAGACAGTTCAGATTTTTCTCAGTATTAGTTTACTAATTTCTAGGAAAAACTGTTGGTTTGGATCTTGAGCATGGATACTCTCCTCTGATCAGCTCAGCTCATGTACCTGTGTTATGCTGGAGTACACTTTAAGAAAACCAGCCCTGCTTTTTTACATCAGTGGCTTTCATGCAGAGCTGCTGCACTGCTCTTCCAGTAGTCTCCTTTCTGAGAGCATTTGGTTTGGTGCAGTGCCTTGTGGCTGTCATGCTGCTGACAGCAGTGCAGATGACAGCAAGGCAGAACCTAGCTGGCTCCATAGGTTTATGAGTTCTGGCAAGACTAATAAAGTCCCCTGGCTTCACACATAAACACCACCTTGTTCCAAGAGCTTTTCTGTTACCTGTTTTCCATTTTTCTGCATTATCCAGGATTTTCCATTCCCAGTTGTTCCAGTTAAATAATACCCTTGTTTCTTTCATCCAGGTAGTGAGAAAAATTCTCATTTACCATTTATGCTGTATCAATGCACACTTAGTTTTTTGAAACTCATAAATATCTCCATAATCCCTGGAAGATAGCTCTTCCATCATGGGCACTGATTCACAGACCTCATTGCTTCCTGCAGCTTCCTGAAGAGGGGAAGTGGAGAGGGAGGTGCTGCTCTCTTCTCCCTTGTATCCAGTGATAGGATGTGTGTGAATGGTTCAAAGCTGCACCAGGGGAGGTTTGGACTTGACATTAAGAAACATTTCCTTACCAAGAGGGTGTCAAACACTAGAACAGGCTTCTTAGAGAGGTGCTCTATGCCCCAAGCCTGTTAGCGTTAAAAAGGCATTTTGGACAATGCCCTTAATAACATGCTTTAACTTTTGGTCAGCCCTGAAGTGGTCAGGCAACTTCCAACTGAACTGTGTAATTCCATTCCATTCTTCAGCTCTCTTACTTTTGGCATATGTGAGAGGTCCATCTTGAAATATAACAACAAAATAGCCAATCAACAATACAAGAAATTACCAAGGTGGGAGTGTCTTCCTTTTTAATGCATTTATACATTCTTTTATGTGTCAAATCACAGTTGCAGGTTGGTTTGACTGGAGACTGTATGTAGCTGTTTTGTTGAATAGCCCACTTTTTCAGATGTTAAAAAATACCAGTAATCAAGGAAACCTACCACAGTTAAAAGAACAACCTAAGCATCTCAAATTAAGTATGCAGGTGCGATCAGAACCAGCCTGTTGACAAAATGTCTGTGTTCTGCAGGTTTGTGTCTGCAGGTTTGTGTCTGCACTCCTTGCACACCTTTGAGCTCTGTTCTTACCTACTCCTGTGGTCAGATCCTTGGGTAATACCTTGTTAACCTGGTTGCTTATTTGCTTTCACTTTTCCCAAAGCTGACAGTAGCCTATTTGGAGGACTGTTTTATTGCTGCTTCTTTTCTCTACTGCTCTTCCCTTAACTATTTCATTAATCTTTTAAAAACATGATAGTGATTACTGCTCTGTGGTCATTGCTCAATTTTAATTGACTTGATTCTGCCACCTTTGCAACAGACTTCACGTGCAACAGACTTCATTTGCAACAGACATTCAGCTCTGTGTAGGTATATTTCTATTTGTGGGCCTAGGTAAATGAACACTACCTGTGAAACTTTTTAGGTGAAGGCAGCTTTGCAGGTAAATGTGAGCTGCTGTTAGAATGCGATGGCCTTCATTACATATGGTACCTTTTTCTGGACTCAATATTCCACTCTTCATCACAAAGTTTTCCTCAGTCCTGGTACATGCCATTGCCATCTAATGTGGTAATTTTGGGTCTATTGAACAGTAACTTTTATACTTAGGGAAACTGCAGGGAAATGCTGCATGATCCAAATAAATGATACATTTATACAAACAGTCTCTTCAGAGATAATTAGAGCTCTCTTATAACTGCCAGCAGTTCTTTTTAGAATATTTAAGCCTACTGCAAGGATACAGAAAATAAGAACATCTCAAGCTACAGATGGTTAGACAACCAAGTACTCTTCCTATACAAGCCAGTTTCTAAATGTTTTGCTGTGTCTGCTTTCCCTGTACTAAGTAGAATATGGAGAAAGAAAATACAGGATGAGAAAACTTCTATAATGAAGCATGTCTGCACATGCCAATCTATAAAACTTGTCATTGTAATGAGTGAAAAGTCTCCATTACCACTGTATTTAGAATCTGTGCCATCATTAAGCAGCCACTTCAGCAGATAGTGGGGTATACTCAAACCTTTTGCAAATTTAAGCTGGGGTTTTCAACTTCAGAAAATGCTAACAGCACTATCAGTAACTCACAATATTAAAGTTATTATTCATATGGTGAGTTTAT